AAATGGTGACAGAAGTTTGTTTATAGTTTCTTAATTAATTTATTATTCTATAAATTAAAATCCTTATTTATAACAACACAATATTTCACTTACAAATTGCATTATATTTTTCATCGAAGTTACATGCACATTTTTTCATAAATGCATAACATTTATAATCTTTTTAAGTCAAAGAACCAATAAGACAGGAGTATTTTCTAAAAATAAAATAAATGTACACATGACATCGAACCAATTAAAGTACAATCGAAAAAATATATAAATAACATATCAAGTTTCTTCTACACTGCAGTGTGATTAGCTCGACCATAAGTAACAAATATGTACCAACAATAAGCTTGCAATAATGGCAAGTTCACAGTACTTGCAGCATTGGGTCTGTCTCTTGTTATTTATTTATTTATTTCTCTTTTTGGTTTTCCTTTTCAATATCTTGCCTCGAGAGTACTCCAAATAATAGATGGTCACAAAATTTGAGGGCTTTAAATTGAAACTTTATCGCTTTTGTACTGAGTTGTGGCCCAATTTTGTTGCCAACTTGCCTGCTAATATCCAATGTCAACCTTAAAAGGAGTGAGGGCATGAAATATATAAAAGGGATTAAAAGCAATAATATTTTTTCTCTTTTTTGAACCGAGGGACATTGGACAAAAATCTTTAATACTTTTGCTATCATTGACTAACACAGTGGTTCTTAAATTAAGTAGACTGATTTCACGGTTTTAGGGACCTCATCTCTTCATATGATTAAAGGTTTTTAAGTTCTTCGTTAAAAAAGAAAAAGAATCTCCATTTATTTTTCATGACATTTAGAGCTTTGAATAATTATCAAGAATGTGATAATGCTAAAAATGAATAATATGATTTAAAATGTTTGTTTGGTTTTTTATTCACAATGTTTTTTAGTTGAAAATCACTCAAATAGTGGAGAGTTTGGTAATAGAATGATTAGAACAGTAAACAAATTAAAACCCATAAGTCCAATCTATGCACTTCTAGGGGTGTGTCCAATAATGAAATTTAAAGAGTTCTATAGATTTTTTAAAGTAAGCAATTTTTTTTGGACTTTATGGACTTTGTGACTTATATGAATTTGTTAAGAATTAATATAAGTTTTTCATGGAATTCTATAGAGTTTGATTAAAAAATTTTAAAGACTTTTCATCTTAAAAATTCAATATATATTTGAAAAATTACAATCTTTCTTACTAGTTAATTTACATTTTCAAGAACCATGATGCCCACAAAATTTTTTGGGTAAAGTAATCATGACTCAATCATTCAATTTTAACGCAAATAAAATAATAAAAAACTTCTACATCAATTTCTAAAAATACAACCAAATTATTTCTTGATCCTTAACCCAAAAAAAAAAAAAAAGAATAGATTAATTATATGGAATTCTACATTTTGAAACAGTTGCATATAATTTCAATTCAAAAGTAATTATGTACATATAGAATAATCAAAAATTAATTAAAGCAAATGAATTGAAGAAATATGAAAAGATCTTAGAATTGAAAGAAAAAGGACATTCTTTTTTTGGGGCTCTAAAATCTTCACAAATCTCAAAGTACATTAGAGATTTCCTTTAAAATTTGCTATTTATATTTTTTTCACCAAAAAGTCTCCAAAGTGTCCAGTAAGTAGAGAATTCTCTAAAATTCACTATCTATTTGAACACCTTATGACTTATAGAGACTTTTAAAAAGTTTCAAATGTATACATATGACTTTTAGAGATTTTTTAAAAGTCTCTAAAAGTTCCAATTGAATACACCTAAATTTTTAGAGGGTCTTTAAAAGTTTCAATTGAATATACCTAAACTTTTTAAATTCTTAAAAAAAATTTAAAGCCCCAAATGAATACACCCTCATTAATGGTCGAGCCTTGAGATTACGTAGCACAATTCCTTATAAAATAATGAACATTTAGTATTTTCTTCTTTGATGTGGTAGTGAAAAATTATTCATCCTCTATAACTGTTAAAAGACAAAATCAATAAGGGAAAATTGCAACGATGGACAATAACTTTTTCAATTTTTTGCAAACATTATCATAACCTTCATTTTATGCCAACAAAGGTCCATAACCTTTTATAAATATTCAGCTGTAGTCCAAATGGATGATTTTTTACCGCTAGTTGACCAACTGCACAAAATGAAGGTTATGATAAAATCAGTAAAAATTGGAAAGGTTAAGGATCGCTGTTGCAGTTTTCCCAAGTTACATGACAGAAAGCAAAGGCTGCTCTCATGGGGAGACAGGAATCTCCTTTAAAAGCTAAATAATGGAGCTTAGTAAGTTACACTAATGAATGTGTGGTTTCCTTTTGACCACACTTGTGCATCCCCCCATTAGGTCAATGAAAGGGACTCAAAAGATTTTATGTCAAAAGCAGGGGAATCCAATGTCTAATACCATTTGCTAATAATTGTACAAGATCTTTCTCATTGGAACTTCATTAAAATAATCAAGCATATAATTAGTGTTCGAATTTTATGCCCCAGCCAATCCAAAGTTCTACATATTTTCAAGTACCTTTTTTAATAAACAAATGTCAAGGTTTTACTTGAAGCATCAATATATTAGAGAAAAATATTTTATCTCGAATCAGTGTTGATCTAGTAACACCTACACTAAAGATCTTATTAGAGTAAGTATAATGTACTTATTCATTATATTTGATTCGAACATTAGTGAGCTGTTCATTAATCAACATCATAAAACTAAATAGGGCACACTACTAGCAATGTGCCAACAACAGCAACAATGAAATTCTGTATTGCATACAAATGTGCTATTAACTGGAATTAGGGTTAATTTGCACTCCTGCTCCAAGGGTGCAGTACGATTTAAACACAAGGAGAAGTGAATACTGCGGCTCCAAGGATGCAGATGTGCAAACTGAAATTCGTGCTATATAAATCTTCAAGATTTTCTGAATCTGATTCCCCATCCGGTAACGTTTCTTGGATATACAATGCTAAAATGAAGGAGACACAAGGCGCCGTTGGATACTTTTCAAATTTAAAAAAAAAAATGTCAATTAGTTTTTAATAGGTCTTGGAAATCAGTAGCCCCCATATCGATTAGTTTTTAATGCATGGTTCAATTCTAAAACATCGCTCACTCACTATCACCGACAAGCTTATCGACGGATGTCCATGCCGAAGGAACATTTTCAGTGGTGTTATCAAAAATGATTAGTCGTTGAGAATATATTTCCTTAAAACTTCCCCCAATATATATATATCATCATCATCATCATCATCATCATTAAAGGAAATAATTTCAAAAAAAGATGGAAATTTTCCCTTTCTGAATTTGGTGATTCCTGTCATTATATGAGTATCAATTGGAATGATATTTTGTGTTGAGAAAAAATGTAGGAAAATCTGAAAACTTAATGAACTCCAAGGCACGAAAAACGTTATCTTTTAAGAGATGTTTCTCCCCTATCCAACGAAGTCACGACTGGGGTATGATAGAAAATCTCTCTCAGGATACAATGGAGGCGTTTGATTCAAATTGTGACTGTTTAATCAAACCAAGAAGACACTCGAAAAAGAACTGATGATGCCAAGAGAAAGAGAGAAGATTATTTTTTAATGTATCTTGCAAACGAGAATTCGCCGAGAATTTATAGAAATTGAGGCAACCGTTTGAATAGGTGTGTCCCTTGAAATGAAGAATACATTTGTTGGAAGTAACTGTTAAAAACTAACAGATGCACTTATTCAAAGACTTTTGAAAATAAATACATGCAAAATCAAACACTAGTCGGCGTAGCGTCAAACACTAGTCGGGACGACAAATCATTCGCAAAACAAAAAATAAATACATGCAAAATGATGAAAAATATCTAACATTTTGGATTCAAATCACGGCTGCTGAGCCATGGAGAAAATTAAGGCAAATTTTGGGTGTACGGCTGTAGCCACTGAAAAATTTCAAATTTTAAGACAATAACTTTTCATAATTTTTAGGAAGACAAAATTTGCGTCGTTGCAAGTTTTCTCTAATTTATGTGCTTTGAGTTGGTCATATAATTAAGTACGCTCATTTAGTCTAGCATTTCAAAATTTATTTTGCACTAAATTATAGTAAAAAATTAAGTTATATTTTGTAGTTAAATTGTATTAGAGTTAGTAGTTAAACAAGTTGTAATTTAGTTTATATTTCTAGTTTATATTGAATACTTGATATCACAAGATTAATTATTTATTTGTTGTAATGGTGAAAATTAGTATGCCAATATTGGGCTCTAAGGGTTAAATCCAACAATGGTCATCCAACTTTATATATAGACCCTGTTTAGGAGTGATTTTGAAAATTGATTTTTTGACCGTTAGGAGAAAAATGGGGCCCACCTGTGAGAGAAGAAGTCAAATATGACGGAAAAAATAGTAAAATAACGGTCAAAAAATCAATTTTTTTATGGAAAAAAATCATTCTCAAATAGGCTCATAGTATCATCGTGATAATCCAATTTAAATTTTTTTTTAACCGCGTCCATCCAATTTTATATAACGTTTCATCATTGTGTGTGTGTGTGTGTGTGTGTGTGTGTGTGTGTGTATATATATATATATATATTTAAAAACTTTCTTTTTTTTAAACAAGTTTTTATTTTATTTTAAAATTATTTTTTATTTTATTTTATTATATATTTTTTAAAAATGAGTTTTTATTTTATTTTATTATATTTATTCAAGTAACATTTTTTTAAGTAATTTTCATTTTATTTCATTTTTTCAAAATAAGTTTCTATTTGATTTTTGTTTTAAAATTAGTGACAGTACTAAAACGTGATTATAAATTCTGCCAAAGGATATTGTTCCCTATAGAAAGAGCTTCTACATTTGGGGACTGATCAAGCCCTCGATACAACATCTTTCGATTCAATAAACTCCTAGTAATATTGATAAGTTCAATTAAACAAAAAGTCATGCTACATATAGGCATATATCGAAAATAATCCAATTGAAACAACCACAAATACAATGGTTATATATCTCATTAATATTAACGAAAAAGTTCACAAAATAAAGATTGAACTATGCTTAATTCATCAAAAACTCACATAAATATATTACCCAAAAAAAGAAGGTGAAGTAGATAATTAACTAGAGGAGGGAAATCAAAGAAAAAAATGGAGTAAATTCGTTGGCTTGAATATCATTTTGGATCCTTGTATCTTGATTCTCTCTTGATATGAATTCTTTCTACTTGTCTCCCCTTGGTGCATTGCACCTGAAGCATTCCATCCTGCTGGCGAAGTTGTGTTCATTGCATCCTGACCTGTTTAATCGCAATTTAAATTTTCAATATGACTATTCTTTATGCTCTTTGAAAAGGATTCAACAATACGTAAATTAAGAATATTGTTTAGATTAATTTTTATAATAAAAAAGCTTAGTTTAAAAGTTTAATCCATTATAAGATACTGAAACTTATTATGTAATTTTATGAGTATAACATGACGTGCTACAAACCAAAATTATTAGGTTAATTGATAAATGTAAGTTCTTTTAATAAATTAGAAGAGTCGTCCCAAATATTAAATGTTTTTGGTAGTCGACGTTTGAAATAAATTATTTATTTGAAAGTAAGTAATAAGCCTAAGCAAACATGTGTTGATAAATAATTAAGGTTAAAATTTTAAAATCGATCTTGCATAGGTTTGAGTATGAATAAAATTTAGCCCCCAGGGCACATCTCCAAGTGGTAAAAGGGGAGGGTGGAGAAATCCAGCTTTACTTGAGGCTGCCGCGTCAAGGGTTCGAATCTTGAAATATGGATTTGACTCTTGAGTAAGTGCAAGTGTACAAGCAGCCTTCCACCCTGTACCCTTGGAGGCATAACCTGCGATTTACCTCCCTTAAGATTGGGGTTCAACCTTTTTTTGAGTATGAATAAAATTTACCTGGGGCAAATCCAGTCACCAGATTTCCATCCAGAATGGCCGCCACCACTGCCGCCGCCAAATCCAAATCCTCTAGGAAGCGACGTCTCAGCCTCAAAGCTGCCGCCTCCACCACTGGAGGATTCATGATCCTTAAGTGCACCGCACTTGAAGCAGCTCGAGCGGCTGGCGAAGTTGTGTGCTCCACAGTTCCCCATTGCGCAGTACCAGTCACCAGGCCGTACATCGGGGCCCGTAAACCCAAATGAAGAATTGCCGCCTCTACCGGCGAAACTAAGTCCATAGTCACCGGCTCTTGGTTCACCACATCGTTGGCAAGAGTCTCTTCTCTGGAAGTTAAAATGTTGGCATGATCTGCAGTTCCAATCTCCGGGCCTGTTCATTGTTCCTGATTCCAAAAAAAATATCCTATTTTCTCAGATTCCTAGCATTAAATGAATCTAGTATTCTGCGCATGCATCTTATTTAGATTATACTTGTTCAACCATCTAATGTAAAAGTTCAAATGATTAGAAAAACAAATCTTGACATGAATGTTGAACATTTATCTGCTCTGACACAATGTTGACTCAACCATCTTATTTGCATGGCTGTAAATAAGATTTATTTGCAGAACATGGATGAACACTAACCTTAAAAAACACAAAGAATATCAGTAATTTTGAAGTGATGATGCTGTTGAGGAGTAAGAGGATTTTCAGAGGAAAACCTGTGAAATTTTTGTAAAGACTGCAATGGTTTATATACAAGTTAAAGGCGTCGATTATCGAGGCGGGTTGTAAGGCTAAGGATATTCTTTTTCATATTCTTCACTTGACTTCTTAAAATCAATAAATTTAATCTAAAAAAAATGGAGAATAAAACTAAAATGAGATTCCAAAGATGGAAAATATTGTGAAGTTTGGTAAAGCACAAGTTGCAGCTGCTTTTAAGGATTCACGAAGACGATTTGACAAATTCTACTCCAACATTTTGATAGTTACTACTTTTTATGTTGTTTTGTCTCTGATTTGCTTTTTAAAAATTTAGACGATGTGAGTTTTTAAATGATATTGTTTAAGATGTTATATATACAAGTAGCAGGGTGGAGCTAGGATGGTACAATTGTCGATTCAAAAGGTAGGTTTGATGCAGTACTTGTGGGACAAGTACTACTTGGGTCGAAGGTTTTGAAATTGAAAGTTGGGGCAGTGCCCCTACCTAGTAAATAAAAATTTTGAATTCAAGTGTTATCTATTCTATTTCATTATACACTTAATGAATCTAATGTATAGAGAGGAGATGTGTTGAACACAAGATTTTAACGTGTACATGTAACTTGTTAGATATCATGTATTTTTTCAAATTTATTTGAAGAAGATTATGAACTACAACTCCAATCAATTGTGTATTTATCAATTAGATGACAAAATCAATGAGTTAAAGGATTATTGAGGTCACGTAATTTTTTCGTTTGTGAGTTTCCATCTATTCTAGCTAAAGATGGAGGTGCACAAAGTGTTTTTATCGAATTTTAAAAGGTTCAATTTAAAAAAGTCTCAAATAGTATTAATTCAAAAAGGCAAAACACCATTTGGATTACCATATCAAAGAGACGCCTCTTAGTGAACAGTTATTTGGCCCAACTCTACAAAAGGGGAAGTGCCATTTTGATTAGTATAACAAACTAGACTCAGTCATTTTTATTTTATGTCCATTGATTCAGAAAATCTACTTGTTTAAATTACAAACTCAAATTATTAATCAAAACCATTTGCCAGAATAAATACATAAATATCAGAATAAGAACTTACATTTTATTTTATTCAAAGTGTAAGTTGTTGAAGAAAAAAGATGAAACAATATCAATAACAACTACAATGGCAACAACAGCGACAACAATAATGACAATGGTAATATGAACAAGTGAAGACATTAGTTGTTAACACTAGCTAATTCATTGATAATCTTACAATGCAAACGAAAGAAGTGGAGACCAAAGGTTTAGGTTGAATTTTTCTTTTTTCAATTTAAGTGTGTGGTGCCGATTGGAAATTATATTTCAGATTTCAAATGGCCACCCTAATTTCAATGATGACGAATATAGTGTATGATATTTCTTTTTTTCTTGAATATAAAGAATATTTTGGATAAAAATAATATTTAATTAAGGTTATCAATCTTTATTTATTATAGCATTTATGTCCCTAATTTTTTTATGATGCTTTATTATTTTCAATCTTTCATTAATTATTTCATCTCGTCTATAATAAACGGAAACCATCATCAAGGAGGAAATTTGATATATAAAAGAAGGTAAAAAAAAAAATGAATTTGACGAAAAAATTTAGGGACTGAAATGTACAATGATCAAAGTTTGACGATCTTAATTGCAAGTGCAACAAGTAATAATTGTAGGAATGATTCAATAAGTACTGTGCCCATTTTATAATAAATATCAGTGACATGTCATATAAATACATTAGTGGATTTAAATTATAGTGGGCCTCAACATTTGAATTAAATTAAATACATCAATAGATTCATATGACACGTCATCGATGCTTAAAATAAAATGAGCACCAGTGCTCATTAAATTATTTATCTACCTTATATATGTACCCTAGCTATGTATATGTGTGTGTTTGATGTTGGGGTAATGAATCTATGATTAACCTTGGAGCTATAGAATCTTGGGACCATTGTGTGGTACGAGTCCAACATTAGCAATGTAAGAAAAAAGCAAGCATAAAATGGTCCACACTCCACACATAATGCCGACCGCTTGCTTGTTGACTCAGTATTGGAGTAGGGAAAATTGCAGTGGGGTCCCAAATCATTTTAAAAGATACAAATAAGTCCCCTAACCTTTTATCTTTGCAATGTCAATCCAAACGTGTTATCAAATATGTGACCAGAGGCCTTTTATACAGCAATCATCCCAAGATCTGTTAATTCAGCATATGAATTGTAGTTGCCCGCTTTTTGGAAAGGTGAATGGGTATACCCATTATTTATAGTAAAACAACTAAAAGGAAAATAGAAGGAAAATAAGGGGAAAAAATAAAGATTAAAAACAATTCAGAAGCCAAAAAATTAATTTGGAAAAAAAATTTTGAAAAAAAAATTTTAAAAAAAAAAAAAAAAAAAAAAAGAGCCTCTCATCTACCACAGTAACAAACCCATCACTGCCATTAGGGATCCCCAAAATATGGCATTTTGCAACAGTTCTTAAACATTGCAAAAAGCGCAACGTTTTCTGATCGTTGCAAAAAACAAAATTTTTCACAACGTTCAAAAAACATTAAGAAAAGTAACATTGGCAACATTTATTTTCAAAATGTTGTCAAAACTCAATTAAATTAACTAATTGCAATATTCACTTATTAAAATGTTGCAATAGACTCCTTTAGCAACACTTAACCACCGAATGTTGCCTTTTATGTGTTGCAAATGACCATTTTTTGTGTAGTGGGATGAGAATACCCTTGGTTTTTCGTCACACCACCAAGAGGAGGATTTCTCCCCAATTGCAGTTGCAGTTGTAGTGATAGTGGCTGCAGCAATGGTAGTGATCGTGTGGGATGGGTGGGGTGGGAAAATTCTTTTTTGAAAAAAATTTATATATCTCCACTAAGCCTTGTTTGATTTTAATTTTTTTTTAAAAATATTTTTCTTTAAACTCATTTTAACTACGCAATCATTCAATAAAATAAAACAAGGGCTTATCTTTTTTCTTCCCTATTATTTTCCTTTTTCCTTTTCTTTTTCATCCTTTTTTTTAAAATTAATTCTAACTAAATTTAAACAAAGTTTTCAATTACCTTTTGAAGAATTGGACTTTTGCACCACACATACCAATTTAACAAATTTTTGGATGCTACCGTTTAATGGTACTTCGACCACATAGTTTAGTCCTCCCAAAAATAAAATAATTGTGACCCCACTGCAATTTTCTATATTGTACCACTGGATAAGTAAGAACAAAAATTTAACTTTGGATATTCCTTGCATTTCTAATCCTTCCATAACCCACAAGATAGCTCATTCTTATCTTTGAATTATTAAGTGAGCCATGTTTGATGTCTCCCTCTCAATAATATACCCCTGTCCCACATTTAGTAGTCAAGCTACTAAGGAAAACTTCTCATTCCTTTTCTATTTTTTGAATGTTCATGATTGGTACGTATACTTGAAACATGAGTTCTGTACAGATTTATTTAAACATGAATGAAATTAAGTGGGAGAAAAAATATTTATGTAAACTGTCATCGACATTTCTCTTTATAAACGTCTCATATTCTATTTCATCGATTTAAAGCATCCCATGTAGACAATTTTTCATCTGAATCGGGGGCTCTGAATCTGCCATTAAAGTGTAAGTTATACTG